CACAGCCCCTCGTTTGTTGTCCTCTTCTCTCTCTCTGCCTACGGTTTTACCGGGCAGTTCTGTTTGTGACGATATATATATATATATATATATTCGGCCCAGCTGGGCAAGTGGTCCCAGGCCACTCTGGTAGCCTAGGAAATAAATAAGCAAACACGTACATAAACAAACAAATAAAAACGGAAACCAACCTTCGTTGCATTCTTCTCCACGCCAATTCCTTTGGAGTACAGGAAGCCTATCCCATTCAGTGCCGATGCAGACCCCCCCTCTTTGGCCTTAGTGAACCACTCAACCGCTGCCTGCGGGTTCTTCTGCACCCCGACCCCTCTTGCATACATTTCTCCCAAATTCACCATCGCCGAGAGGACGTACGGCCACTCGTTGTCCTGATGTCCCATCTTCTTCATCGCCACGTCCTTGAAATATTGAAACGCCTTTTTATGGTCTCGCGGAACACCCCTCGCTCCGTAGTAGTACAAATTGCCAAGCATGTTCAGCGACTTCGGATCTCCTTGCTGAGCTTTGTGCTCGACATACTGCTCGCCGGAGGATCATTACGACGCCATGTCATCGTCAACCACAAAGACATCATGCCAGGTCATTTTTCGACCACCGCCACATGACGCATCATTTTCATAACCACAGCCGCATGAGGCCACATCATTTTCCAATCCCATGATGCCACGTCGTTTTTTAATCCCAGCGACAGCATGCCACGTCCTTCCCCCCCCCCCCCAACCATGTGACCCCACGTCATTTTTCCGCCATAGCCACCACATACATAATGACATATCATCATTTACTAACCGCAACAGCATGCCACTCTATTTTTCACTCGCAACCACATCATGATGCATCGTCATTGATTACCAATCGCAGCCACAGCATGCCAGATCAGAATCCCTGACATCCACAGCATCAACCATCATCACAGCATATTTATTTTTCTGTTTCTTTCACTATTTTTTATTTCTTATTTCTTTTTCTTAGTAGTTCCCCTTTGAAATGGGCAGGGCTCCGCCGCATTCTGCAATAAAGTACAGAGGAAATTATACTGGAGGGGTCAAGTAGATGAGAATACTCGCCTGACCCCTCCGTGGCCCTGAGTTATTCGTCACCAGATCTCAGTCGAAAGGCCGAGTAAAGTACGCTTGAGCGACTGCTTTACCAACACTTATCCACTTCTATTCTACAGAGCGCTACACTGTAGAGAAAAGTTATGGGTTCAGGTTCAGCTTGTGAAGCCCGAGCGCTTTCCACTTGCTTTTCTCAGCTGACAACATGTCATCAGTCCCGAAGTATCCTGCACGGATGTCTGTCCAGGTACATGTAGTGGAGCGAGGCCCATTGTTGGGCTTGCACATCGGACAACATTGGTGGTTTAACTTCACAAGCCGAAACTTGAACCCATAACTTCTTCTAGAGAGCACCGCCCTGGGAGAAACGTGTAAAATTATAAATCAAGGCAAAGCATTCCTGTTAATGCACACTTCTCAGCCCTTTGGCTGCATTCAACTCGAGTACCCGACCAGATTCGTTCAATATCTGGTCCATCGTCAATCGGCCCACACAATACCAAACCAGAAAATGTCGTTCAATTCCAGGAGTCCGAATGAATTGCAGGGGTTCGAATGAGTCCCCAACCATTACGATTACTCATGATGCCGCCTATCTAGACTGCCATGTACCAAGATCGGCGGCCAGGATCGACCGCCGTAAAAATTTGTGAAACACGGGGTCTACTTGGCCCGCTGTGTTTTTTTTTTAATATCAGTGGCGGCTCCGCAAGGCCCCCTCAGGAGGAAGCCTGGCCGCTATTTGCTCGAATTTTGCCCCCAGCCAAAACACGCTGGGGGGAACCAGGAGCCAACCGGAACGGCCAACCGGCCGGTACAACCGGGAGGCGCTCCCGGTAGGGAGGAGGGGTCCCCGGTCCAGACGGGGACAAGCACTGATGGAAGGAAGACGAAAAGAAAGTAAGGAGTGTGGAGTGAAGCTGAAAGCATAGGTAAGGATAAGATAAAACTTAACGAGTCAGAGTCTGCCCTTGACGACACAGACGACACACACTGTAGGGATGAGATGGGCGATGATGATGACATGGAAGACCTAGATGCTATAAGCAGTCTCAGCATAACAATTGCCACGACGGCTGGCATAAAGCACATCACTTGACCCCTCCCAGCCAGATGGTTTCATTTTTCTAATTTTTTCCCCATCTTTTTCTTTGTTTTCCTTTTTTTTTTTCCAAAATACATCTACAAGACTCCAGAGGTCACTGTTCTCACACATTCTCATTCGTACTGCGTATATGGGATGCCGGACCCGCTTTCCAGCAGGTGAAAACAAACCAGTGCTAAATACCCGGTCCTACCGGGGGGTCCACCCCCAACCGGAACCGTGCCGGTGGGACCGGCCGGTCGACCGGCCCGGTTCGCCCCCGGTAGGCTATAGCGCATTCCCAAAAAAAGGCCGGTTCGAATTTTTAATGGGCCAGGAGGCCTCCCCACGGGTTGTGGGGGCCTCCTGGCCCATAAAAAATTCGAACCGGACTTCTTTTGGGAGGCCACGAATATTGCAAACGGCGGCCTCTCTGGACCGCTGTATCAAGGAAGATCTGCGGCCCAGATGAGGCCGCCGTTTTTTAATCTTGGAGGGAGGGCGGTCCTCCTCCGATTTCCCGCCCGTCGTCGGCCTCCCACCCGTCACCCGCCCGTCGTCGGCCTCCCGCCCGTCACCTTCCTCCTGCCCGTCGCCGTGGCGCAGCGCCCGTCGCCGTCCTCCCACCCGTCGCCGTCCATGGTCGTGGCCGTGGCGCAGCGCCCGTTGCCCAGGTAAGTGGCGCGTCCTCTTCTTCTTCTTCTTCTTCTTCTTTTCTTCTTCTTCTTCTTCTTCTTCTTCTTCTTCTTCTTCATCATCATCATCATCATCATCTTGCTAAAAATTAGTACTTCCTGCGAGAGAGAGAGAGAGAGATCATTTTTCTTCTTCTTCTTCTTCTTCTTCTTCTTCTTCTTCCTCCTCTTACTAAAGCTCCCTCGTCTCGAGAATACGCGCGCAAGCAAGCAAGCAAGAGAGAGAGAGAGAGAGAGTCATTTTTTTGAGAGAGAGAGAGAGAGGGTGCGCGAATACGCGCGCACGCAAGAGAGAGAGAGAGAGAGAGAGAGAGAGAGA